GGGTGGTGTAAAGATGAGAAGATGAAAGAGCTAACATCTGCAGGTGCTTTGTGAACTGTGAAATGCTATGTGTATGTGAGATTACTTCACATCTTTTAGATTCCCTTTCCTCTTTGACCCAGTGAGCTATCTGACTCATAGAAACTTATTCACTTAGCATTCATATTTTTCTCAGTGGGTCCTACTTTCTGGCTAATTCATCTCCTGACTCATACTCCTTGAGCTTTAGTAATTGATGTTTCTTCAACAGTGGGTTTCCTACTTACTACTTGTTGAATTCTTTATTTATGGAGGGTTAAGCTTGTGATTATAAAGAAAAATGAAAGTGTGACATTGTAAAAATTAAAAGAATAACAAAAAAAAATTAAGGGTGGGTGGGAGGGAAGGAGGGAGGGTAAGGTGGGAGGATCATTATACTCTTAAAACTATGTATATGAAATACATGGAATTTGTTCCCTTTTTATAAATAAAAACTTTAAAAAGAGCTTATTTATGCCCAAGCTCATGAATTCTTGTTGAATTTTCCCTGTTTCCTTTTTAAAACATTATTTTTATATTTATTTGAGATATGTAGAAACAGAGAGAGAGAGAGAGCAGGAGAGCGAGAGAGAGAGAGAGAGAGAGAGCGAGCGCTTCTACCTGCTGGTTCATTTCCAAAATGCTCAAAGCAGCTAGGGCTGGGCCAGTTGAAGCCAGGAGCTGATAACTCAATCCAGGTCTCCCACATGGGTGACAGGGACCTGTTCCATCACTGCTGCCTCCCAGAGAGTGCACATTAGCAGGAAGCTGGAGACAGAAGCTGGAGGTGGTATTCAAACTCAGACACTCTGATAAGGGATGCATGTGTCCCAAGCAGTGTTTTAACCCTTAAGGCAAATACCTCCTCTTTTATTATTAACAGATTTCTGTTACCCACTCATATTTCTACAGCTCTTTTATATATTTGTTTTTTTTCTATCTTTTTTCTCCAGTAGTATTGATCTATAGATTCTAGAATAAATTCAAGGATCATACATGATACATCATTATCTTGTATATTCTAAGGCAATTTTAGTTTTAGCTGTGTTCATCATGGCTGCCCCAGTGCCCAGCGAGGTTTGACTGTGTCCAAGCTGCTCTGTAGCCACAAACGAGGCTCTTCCTTGAGACTGAGCCTCCCTCTCAGGGCAGGCCTCATCCAGTGGGTGCTTGCCTTGCCTCCATCACCACACCATACTGCCTTTCCTTTCCTGCTCCCTCCCCCGTCATGGGCCCCATGGTTTGTTATTTTGTTTTCTAAGAATTCAAAGACAAGAGATGGGAAGGGGTGTGTGGTTTTGTGGCACATCAGGTTAAGCTGCCACCTGCAACATTGGCATCTTATATGAATGCTGCTTTGAGTCTCTGCTACTCTACTTTTGGTCCAGCTCCCCGCTAATGCACCTGGAAAGACAGTGGGAGATGACCCAAGTACTTGGGCCCCTGCACCCACGTGGGAGACCTGGATGGAGTACCAGGCTCCTGACTTCAGCCTGGCCAACTCTGACCACTGTGACCATTTGGGGAGTGAAGCAGCCAATGCAAGATATCTCTCCCTCTCACTCCTGTAACTCTGCCTTTCAAATAAAAGAAGAATGTATAGTGAAGAACTGGTGTTGTGGTGTCATGGGTTCTGATCCAGCTCTCTGTGATGCATCTGGGAAAGCAGCAGATGATGACCCAAGTTATTGGGCCTCTGTCACCAACATGCGAGACTTGGATGGAGTTCCTGTCTCCTAGCGCCTCTGTGGCCATTTGAAGAGTGAACCAGTGGATAAAAGATCTCTCTGTCTCCCTTCACTCTTATTCTGTCACTCAGCCTGTCAAATAAATAAATAAATCTGTAAATCTTAAGAAAAATACTCAGTGGGTGTAAAAATTGCCCAGACCACTCAATAGGGGAACAATCCCCACAAAGCTCATCCACAGTGTTATCTTGCTGATAGGGTCCTTTTATTGTATGCATTCCTCTAAGTATAATTGTGCTTAGACCGTCATGGAATTACAATTACATTTTTTTTCCCCAAAAGGTGTCCACTGGGTATGTTGCTTTATAATATATTTTTTTAACCTCAGTGCTATGTTTGGCACCTTCACCTGTGGGAAATGACATGTATTCCTCATCTCTGCTTCTCTGCATTGTATTTCATTGCAGGGGTTCACTGTACTTATAGGATTCCCGTCCTACTGAAGAGTGACAAAGGCTCTTCTTTCTCTGTCCCCATCTTCTGCCTCCTCCTCCTTGCCCTCCTTCCTGGTTTTCTCCACCTCCTTCCATTCCTCCTTATGCTCCTCATGCTCCTCCTCCTCCTCCTCCTCCTCCCATCATTCCCTCTTCTCCTTAAACCTGCTCTCCTCTCCTCCCCTCCCATCTGACACTACTCTTGCCTTTCCCTCTCTGCCTCTAACCCCTCTCACATCCCCGCCCCACCCCCATCCTCCTCCTGGCTTAAAGTTCAACTACTCTGCAGTGGCTCCACTTGCTTTCTCCATCTTAACTTCCCAGGACTTTTTAGTTTTCACCTCCTAGTTGTTTTTCCTAGTTTCTCCATTACTTTGTAACCATTGTGCCTGGATCTCCAGTTCTGGATTACTCTACCCTTTGCTGTCACTTTCATTCTGTTAATAACTGAGAGAGGTGTTGAGAGCTTTTTTGCAGATTCCACAGCAATTCTTTTTATTTTCTTTTAAGATTTATTTTATTTATTTGAAAGACAGAGTTACAGAGAGAGGTGGAGACAGAGAGAGAGGTGTTCCATCCTCTGGTTCACTCCCCAGATGGCTGCAATAGCTGGAGCTGCGCCGATCCAAAGCCAGGAGCCAGGAGCTTCTTCCGGGTCTCCCACGGAGGTGCAGGGTCCCAAGAACTTGGGCCATCCTCTACTGCTTTCCCAGGCCATAGCAGACAGCTGGATTGGAAGTGGAGCAGCAGGGACTCGAACCAGCACCCATTTGGGATGCTGGTGCTCCAGGCCAGGGCTTTAACCTGCTGTGCCACAGCGCTGGCCCCCACAGCAATTTTTGTTAGAGCCACACTATGATTCAGTTCTGGTTTTTTGGATTTCTGGTCGTTTTGCCAGCTGGAGTTGTCTCATCAGTGCTAAGCATATACACAGCCTTTTATTTGGAATAAAAGTTCAACAAGAAAGCAAGCAAACCATAGCAGTAAACAAAAATAAGAAATGGAGAGAGGATTTTTTCTAATTTACCTAGGAGAACTTGAATGAACTATTCTTGCTGCTCAGTGATTTAGTTCCTGGGTGAATTGTAACTCTTGGTATTTACCTACTTGGTTTGTTCCAAAATTATTTAAAAGGATAGCTCTTATTCTAGCTTTTTGGAATCTATGCTCACAGTGTTAGCCTGAGGCATAACACATAGAGTCCTTCCTATCTGACTTTGGAAGTAAGGGAATGTTGCCAGATATCTTCCTTTCGTTTCTTTTGAAGAGCTAAAGGTCTTTGTGTAGAGGCTCCGTATGGGATATCAGGTGGCCAAGACTTGGGCTTGTAGTCTTTTCCCTGAATCATCTCAAGAAAATTAGGAAATAGGATTCAGTAAAGCAAATTGGAAGGTGACAACCCCGGTTTTAATTCAAATCATCTTGCTGAGTGTATCTGAAGTTCCACATAGCCCTACTCACTTTCCTTGTGGCTTTTCTCATGGCCTCTTTTGATCTCTTTCAGGAGTGATTGCTTCCTGCTCTGGGGAAGTGAGAAAGTGAGTGAGCTAGAGAAAGAGAGAGAGGGAAAGAAAGATAGAGAGAGAGAGAGAGAGCTTCCATGTACTGGTTCCCTCCCAAAGTGGTTGCAATGGCTGGAGCCGGTCCAAATGTATTGCAAGATCTAAAGTCAGTTCTGAAAGTGTTGGTCCCTGAAGTGTTTTGAGCAATGAAACAATATTGGAATAAAACAGCCTCTTAGATCATTGTTCTGAAGGAAGCCCCTGTCTGTTTGATATTTAGTGCATATTTTAAAGAAGCAGTCATATACTTTGTGTCTTGTTTCTCCAAAAGTATGCCTCTTGAAGATAGAAGCTGTTTTCTATTTCTATGCATTTCCCATAGCATTCAGCACAGTGTTTTACAAATTGCAGATGTTCAATAAGTCTGTTGATTAGCCACTTAGAAGTGAGAGGAGGAAAATTAAGAATGAAATGTTCTGTAGTTAATTACAAATTGCAGAAATGAGTTTGCAGTTTATCACATATCTCTACAACTTCTGGAAAAATTCTTTAGTTGATATTTTTCAGTACATTTTGTACAGTTTTGTCAGTTTTATGGAGGTCTAAATTCCTATAGTGAGTCCATTGCGGTATTTTCTATTTTTGTTGTCTTTTCAAAATGGAAAGTGTAAAGCTATTTCAATCATAATTCATGAAGTTTAAGTTAGCAATTGAAATTTGTAGCTGGCAGGGACCATATCGTTATAACCTAAACACCGGGTGCAGTTGCTGGGACAGAAGGGAGCTCAGTAAGTAGTTGAAAAATAAATCAATGCTTGAGTACATTCTCTGTGCTCAAACTGACTGTGACAACTTGCTCGGCACACAGCGGGGTAGAGTGGGCTAGAATCAATGCTTCTGTTGCCTTCATGCTTTCATTTGAAATTAAACGTGGGAAAAACTTCACATTTGGTCTTTGAATATCGATTTTAAAGTACATCTAATTCTAAGGTTAATACCTGTTACACTGGAGGAAGGCTGGAGTAAGAATTCGTTCCTACAAACCAAAAGGATTATTTTAAGGGGAAGCTACTGTGAAAGGTCTGTAAGTGGCTTATTCAAGGTGTGCCAATTGATTGGTTTCATGCCTCCCTAGCATAAATTTTCTTTTCTCCATTATATATTATTAGGGTTTCCTATCCACTGTTTCTGTTGGAACAGAGTCTTTCTTAAGATGTAACCCATATCTGACTTCTCTGAGTTTTAGGCTTTCGGGAAATGTTAGTTTTCATGTTGATGGATTTCCTGCTATTTTTCAGGATGGAAAAAAGGAGTCAAGTTCATGTACTTGTTTGAAGGGGCCCAAACTGTCAGAAATAGGGACAATTGCCTGGATGATAACACTCAGCGATGCGCTGCACAATTTCATTGATGGCCTGGCGATTGGGGCTTCCTGCACTGTGTCTCTCCTGCAGGGGCTCAGCACGTCTATAGCAATCCTGTGCGAGGAGTTTCCTCATGAGTTGGGTGAGTGAAAGTTGGTTTGCTTGGTTTCAGTGGAATGAGACATGTCAAAGTCCCTGTTGGACGTTGACAGTTATCTTCTTCTCATCCCCAAATGGAAAACTCTGTTCATTTGATATTTTCTTTTTCTTCTAGGGGACTTTGTGATCTTACTCAATGCCGGGATGAGCACTCGACAAGCCTTGTTATTCAATTTCCTTTCTGCATGTTCCTGCTATGTTGGGCTAGCTTTCGGCATTTTGGTGGGAAACAATTTTGCTCCAAATATCATATTTGCACTTGCTGGAGGCATGTTCCTCTACATTTCTCTGGCAGATATGGTAAGAAATGCCAACTTTTAATTTTGTTTCAATTTTACATTTAGAAATGAGCCTTTGAGTTGTGAGTTGACCAAGGGCAACTTGCTTTCTACAGTGTGGAAGGCCTTTCAGCTGTAATTGCGAACATTTCACACATCACTCTTCTTGGGTAGTTTACACTAATAGTAATTCGAAAGGCTTCTCATTGATTTTCTACTGTGATATTATTGATAGAGGGTGAAAGGCTTTGTTTTTGCTGAAGTAGAGGTGTTTTTGTAGCTCTCCTCTTGTCTTGTGGATATACCTTGTCTCCTATTTGTATTGTGTCCCAGTAGGACTCCCCCTTGCCTTGCTTTTGTGAAGATTCCACTTTTGGAATGGGGAATAGCATGTTAGAGTAAAACATCATTTTTGTTATTTTGAAGTTCTAAACATTAAAAGCCTAAAACTGATACAAGGGGTGAAATTAAAGTCTGACATTAGTGGCAGGCATTGGGGTAGCGGTTAAAGCTGCATGGGATGCCTGATCCCATATCAGAGTGCCTGGGTTTGAGTTCCAGCTCCACTCAGTTCCAGCTCCCTTCTCACGCAGACCCCGGGAGGCAGTGTTTTAGTTCAAGTAGTTGAGTCCCTGCCACCCATGTAGGGAACCTGGATTGGTTTCCTGGATCTTGACTTTAGTCTGGCCCTCTCTCAGCTGTTGTGGATGTTTGGGGAGTGAACCAGTGGATAAGAGCTCTCTGTCTATCTGTATTATTTGTCTCTCTCTGTCTCTGCCTTTCAAATTAAACAAAAAATGAAAGAAAATTTGAGAGTATTTATTTTGGGTTAGTATACGTTATACATTTTTTGCCTATATGGGGTCTTGGTCTTTATTTGTATTGGTGTTTATATGTGCTTATGTGAGTGTGCATATGTGTATAATAGAGAATATATTGCACATTTCCGACTGAATCATGCATATCTTTAGAAAATGAGAATGTGTTAATGTATGAAAATCAAAATATTTCCTTTTCATTTGGAACATAGACAATTTTATTTTCTCATTTATTAGTTTCAAATTATAGCTGTCTAATTCTGTTCATTTTTCTGTGCAGACCCTTGTAAGAGCTAGTATCTCATCTCTTAGAACCACCACGGTGCTTATATTTTTCTAAACAGAGTTAATGTCTCACACTGTCTTTGTTCTAGGTGGTTTCTTTCTTTCTTTCTTTTTTTTTTTTTTTAGATTTATTTATTTGAAAGGCAGAGCTACAGAGAGGCAGAGGCAGAGAGAGAGAGAGAGGTCTTTCATCTGCTGGTTCACTTCCCAATTGGCTGCAATGGCCCGAGCTGTGCCAATCCAAAGCTAGGAGCCGGGAGCTTCCTCTGGGTCTGCACTCTCGTGTGGGTGCAGGGTCCCAAGGACTTGGGCCATCTTCCACTGCTTTCCCAGGCCATAGCAGAGAGCTGGATCAGAAGTGGAACAGCTGGGACTTGAACTAGCGCCCATATGGGATGCCGATGCTGCAGGCGGTGGCTTTTCCCACTACGCCACAGCGCCAGCCCCTGCTTATTTTCTGATATAAGAATAGAATCTATTAGAGTTGTTCAATTTAAAACAATATTAATGATGCTGTCTATACTTGTAGTTTTGCATTTTGCAGAATTGTTTCACAGTTTTCCCTTGTTTTATCCTAGCAGCGATTTTCTTAAGGGAGACACATTGATTATGGATGCTGGAGGTGCCTGGGTTGCTTTGCTAGAAACTGTAGCATGTGTAGCTAGTAATTTTGGAATGTGTTTTAAAAAACCCGGCACTTACAGATCTCCACATCTTTCAGGAGAAGTTATCTGATTAGAAAAAGGTAGATTTAAAACCAAGTACTTATGGTTTTTATTGCTTTCGCTGCAATGAGATTGTTACAATCTTCAATCTTAGGATCATGCATATTTTATTTAAAAACTTTATGATTTTGTAATGTAGAACAAGTAGAAGGAAAAAATTGAAGCAATCATGAACTAAGTGTATAGTTATTTCTAAACATTTATTTAATTAGCTACTGTTGATACATTTTTTGTTCCAGTCCAAGGAATCTGTTAAGCACTGGGAACTCTCAAGTGAACAAAATAAGTGCAGTCGTATTCATGGGACAAAAATGTCTAGAAAGAGAGGAACAAGAAATTAAACAAAAAAAGCACATGGATGACTAATGATAAATAACATGAAATAAAAAGAAAAGAGTGTGTATGATGAGAGATGCTGGTAAAGGAAACTGCCCTCGGTCAGGTGGGGCTGAGGCAACGGTTTCAGGAAGGAGGGAAGCAAGGTGAAACCTGAAGGATTCGGTCCACTGAAAAATTGGAGGGACAAGGGTTCAGGAGGAGGGGAGGGCAGGTGTGAACACTGAGAGGAAGGAAAGAGGCTGGACGTGTTGGAGTCTTGAAAGCAGGATGTAGATGCAGCATAGAGAGGAAGAGTGAGCGAGAGAGCCATAAATGATGCAAGTGCCACCCTACTGATTTGAAAACATTATTTCAGCACTTTTATTCTGAAAGTGCTTCATGTTGCTATTATGCCTTCTATACTAAAACATTTAAACATCTGAAATAAATTACCATGTTCCCCACAGAAATGTATAAACGGCTGTTTTATCTTTTACCACAAGGTGGCAACAGCTATCTAACAATGTCTCTTTCTTCTAGTTCCCGGAGATGAACGATATGCTGAGAGAAAAGGTAACTGGAAGAAAAACGGATTTCACCTTCTTCATGATTCAGAATGCCGGAATGCTAACTGGATTCACAGCCATTCTGCTCATTACTTTGTATGCAGGAGAAATTGAGTTGGAATAACAGGAAGCGGAAGACGGTGTTGTTATTGAAGGCATTTAATAAATAAAAACATCTCCAGAGGAATTTTTAAGCTGATTCTATTTAGTTGAAAAATAATTTTGTTTTCCACTGTAGGTCAAGTAAATTAATTAGTGGTTTCAGATCTGTGAAAAAGGTTTTTAAGTCATTGTTGAAAACACTGCAAAAGATTTTTGGTTCTTGTCTGAAATGCCTGGTATTTTTGGCAAGTACCCAATTTTTTCTTTGTTTCACACATATTAGAAAATCATCATGAAGCAAGACATTTATGTTCTATAATCATATGAACACCTAGACCCAGAGAAATATAGAAGCCAAGTTTTATAAACCTTTAAAATTCAGTTGTTGGATCAGAGGTTCAAATGGTTTCAGAGTGTTTTCTTTCAGTTGATTTGTTCTAGTACTTTCAAGAGCAAGTACCTCAACATGGGGAAGAGGGTGTCCGACACTGGACATTGGAGATTCAAGGCCTTAATGAATTGTGCACAGCCTTTGTAATGTTTTGTATTTCAGTTAGGAACCTGTAGAATTGTTTTGAAAGCCATTGTAAGATATTATGAAATAGGAAACCATTAAGGTTTTATAAGTCCTACTAAGTTCAAGCCTAGACTTTTTATGGCCTGCAGTCTTCCAGACTCCATGAAAAGCCAGAATAGCTTTTTATGACTTAGGCATGGTTGCACCCCTTAGAAATGGTGGGACCGTCTGTAGAGCTGGTGACAGCTCAGTTTCAGTGTGGGTATGCTTTGTGAAGGTGAAAAATATGTTGCTTTAGAGAAAGAGATTTAATGTAATCTTAAGTAATTTACTTTTAAAGATGAATGTAATTATTTAGTAGAAAGTATATATAAATATAAATGCAAAACAACAGCTGGTCTACTGTCCTTCAAAGAATGATTAAATAGAAAACATACGTTCCTTACAGGTGACTGAGAGTTATTCAGAAAAGGCTTCTTTTGTGTTGAGTTCAAGTTTTTCCATATGGTGTCCTTGGGAGAAAACTCAGTACACTATGGTTATTTTTCTACCTTTTATAAAGATAGAGCTTGTTTACTCATTTAGCAGGTGATAGAAAATTAGTCTAAAATTGAATATTCTAGTCCCAATTCACACTCCCAAGTCACATAAGGAAAGGTAATTCAACAGCGAGGAAAATGAAGCAATAAAGCCTCCAACAATGATCTCAGGAATTCCATCTTCTCGACGCCATAAAATGTTTCACATAGCAGTGATGTAGACTTGATGAATGTTTAACATGTACATTAATGTATAATTCACTTTATGACTGACACTTTAAAAAACTGGACAAATAGTAAACACATTTAAAACCACGTACTGTGCCACTGTGCCTCTTATTGTTCATTGAATAGGAATCTGTTTTAAGTGACTACCATGTACCTGGTATTATGGGGAGAGAGATAAATAGGAAATTGGTGATGTGTTTATTTTAAAGATATTTAGGAAGTACTGTAAAGATTTATAATTGCTTATAAAAATCAATAAACATAGAATTTTTTTATAAAATTTTTTAAAAGATTTATTTACTTATTTGAAAGTCAGAGTTACACAGAGAGGGGAGAAGCAGAGAGAGAGAGAGAGAGAGAGAGAGGTCTTCCGTCTGCTGGTTCATTCCCCAATTGGCCGCAACGGCTGGAACTGTGCCAATCCGAAGCCAGGAGCCAGGAGCCAGGAGGCAGGAGCTTCTTCCGGGTCTCCCATGTGGGTGCAGGGGCCCAAGGACTTGGGCCATCTTCTACTGCTTTCCCAGGCCATAGCAGAGAGCTGGATCGGAAGTGGAGCAGCTGGGTCTTGAACCGGCGCCCATATGGGATGCCGGCACTGCAGGCCAGAGAATTAACCTGCTGCCCCACAGCGCTCACCCCCAGAATATATTTTTATTATTTCATCTTTTTACATTCAATATAAGAAATGAAATTGGCTTTTTTAGAGCATAGATTGTATGTCTGGCTTAAGAAACTACTTCTAACATTGTGTTGAAAGGAGATAACTTAATGAACTCTCATTTGGTGCAGATCGTTCCATAAGCATTGTCTGGGCACTTTTTGTTACTCCTTCTATGCTTGTACCTTGTAGCCATTTTCCTCAGTTTTAAGAACAGAGGCAATAAGGCATGAGGCAATAAAATAAAATAAAATAAAAAAAGCACTCCTTTTTGGAGGTTATGGTAGAAAGTAGGAGGTAAGACATGGAAACCTATGGTTAAATTTTTCCTAGATGGCTTTATCCAAGAGCCCTGGAACTGTCAGTCAACATATCTTCTACTGAGGCATTTGTTTCCTGTACCAGTTGAATATGCTATTATCTTTAGACTTTAAAGATGCTACCATGACAAACCAATGTGATTTCAGCATAGTATACATTGGGTTACATTCATTTTTGCATTGTTAAACTTAAAAATGTCAACCTATAGTTGGCATTAATTGACTACTGTGTCAGTCCTCTATTGCTATGACAATATATTGTAGCAGACCACTTGTAGAACCAAGGCTCACAATAACTGGCCATTCTCTCATGCTCATGGGTCTGGGGGTGCAGCTGATCTAATCTGGGATCTGCTGGGTAGTTCAGCTTTAGGCTATGGCTTTGCCAGATTTTGCCACGTGGTTGTTGGTACTACAAAAAGTTGTGCTGCAAAGGGAATGGGTTTGAATATAGGGAGAGAATGAAGAAGTAAAAACTGATTCAATGTGCATAAAGCGGTCTCTACAGACTCGAATTTCATTTTCCCTAGCAGAAAATACCTGATATTGGTAAGTCATCAAAAACTACCAGGAACAGGCCGGCGCCGCGGCTCACTAGGCTAATCCTCCGCCTTGCGGGGCCGGCACACGGGGTTCTAGTCCCGGTCGGGGCGCCGGATTCTGTCCTGGTTGCCCCTCTTCCAGGCCAGCTCTCTGCTGTGGCCAGGGAGTGCAGTGGAGGATGACCCAGGTGCTTGGGCCCTGCACCCCATGGGAGACCAGGAAAAGCACCTGGCTCCTGGTTCCTGCCATCGGATCAGCGCGGTGCGCCGGCCGCAGCGCGCCAGCCGCGGCGGCCATTGGAGGGTGAACCAACAGCAAAGGAAGACCTTTCTCTCTGTCTCTCTCTCACTGTCCACTCTGCCTGTCAAAAAATTAAAAAAAAAAAAAACTACCAGGAACATCTCCTTACTTTAATAAAATTGACTCTAATAGATTTTCTAATTTCTTTTATGAGAATATGTATTTTTTCTTCACTAGTACAAGTGATTATTTGTAGGTGTGTGGCTATACCACTGGCATACTCCTAAGTCAAGATACTGTATTTGTAAATCTAATTCTACCAGGGTTCATTTCTGTAACAGTTGCTTAGTGCAGTGGATGTGAGAGTCTAGAATTATGAAGGTCCTGGAATACTATTGTAATCATGATCTTTAGGAAGGCTCTCCTGAATTGAGCATTACCATATCAAAAAGGATTTCTTCAGGAGAGGAGAATTTTTAAGTTAACTAATGGAGAACCACCAAAAGTGCACCATGGGTTTACCAGGTAATTCACAGATGTGTGTCCAGAGAGCTGATAACCGATGGCCTGTGCCCAGTCTCCCCTCCCTGTTCTCCCTGCAGATCTTGTTTTGCCTTTTCACCAGTAGGTTCCTGTGATCCCCAGACTTCTCTCTGTATATTTAAAGTTTATCATCGTACAAGAGTTTCTCAACTTTTTAATAAAGGAATGCTCACACTGATGTTTGTATAGCTGCTTTCTCATTGATACTTAGTCTTCCACACAGCTGTGGGTTGTAATACCTGTTAGGTTGCTTTTACCTTAGCTTCCTTTCTGTGCTAGATACACATAAACCATTTATTCAAGGCCATTTGGCTTCCTATTTTGGAGGCCACCAATCTCTGTACTGTCTCAGTCAGTGACTTTACCAGTAAAATTTCAGGACAGTGAAGGCAGCTGGATAAACTGCAAATACGAGCTGCCTGTTCTACCAATCTTAATCTCGCACTTTCCCCTGTATTTTAACATTTCCACACTGTGATCACTGACAACCAGGTGGCGTTGTGGAGGTAGTGATACTTGTGTGAAAATGAAAAGCACCTGTTAGATCTGGCAAGACTAAGCAAATGTCATTGTTTCTGTGTTTGGGATTTGATGGTGTAGAATAACAGCCCTGAAACAGGTAAGGCTGCTATTCCTTCCTAGACAAGAGGGGTGAAAGAAGCAGTGTCAGGCTGGCCTGGCAGTACCGTGAACATTGGGAACCTGGATTCCTTGGATCTGTCTTCCCCAACCTGTGACTCCTGCCTCCATGTTCCAAGGTGATTGGGACAGATGCACCCTTAGACATCTAAATTTGGCATGCAGAAAGGAGTAATGGGTGGAAAGGGATAAAGTTCCCACCCAACTCTTTTTTTTTTTTTGAAAGGTTCATTTATTTATTTGAAAGTCAGAGTTATACAGAAAGAGATGAAGGAGAGAGAGAGAGAGAGAGAGAGAGAGAGGTCTTCCATCTGATGGTTCACTCCCTAATGGGCTGCAATGGCCAGAGCTGCGCCGATCTGAAGCCAGGAGCCAGGAGCTTCTTCTGGGTCTCTCACATGGATGCAGGGGCCCAAGGACTTGGGTCATCCTGAACTGCTTTCCCAGGCCATAGCAGAGACCTGGATCGGAAATGGAGCAGCCGGGTCTTGAACCAGTGCCCACATGGGATGCTGGCACTTCAGGCCAGGGCATTAACCCACTGCGCCACAGCGCCGGCCCCACACACACCCAACTCTTTATCCTCCTTCTAGGAGCATTTTCACATGTAGTGTCTAACAACCTCACTTATCTTCACCGACCACGATTAGTCAGCTGGGCACACCCTCCTGCAAGAGAAACTGGTGACCATTGTGGCTACATTGTCACCAGTAAAACCAGGGTTATTTTACTAGGAAGCAGCCAAGAATGGATAAGGAGCAGTCGGTTGTCTCAGATGTAACAGGCTTGCATCAGTTTCCCCTGGGAAGCTGATTGCTGCAGGTGGTTCTGACACAGGCAGATCAGGAAGTGCAGCTTCTGAGAATCTCATGACATCTTTCAGCCCAATCCCTGCCACCTTCGCAGTTCTCATTATACTGACCCAGCTCACTGTCTTGCTTGATGACCAGTATTCTTTTTTTTTTATTTTTATTTTTATTTTTTGACAGGCAGAGTGGACAGTGAGAGAGAGAGACAGAGAGAAAGGTCTTCCTTTGCCGTTGGTTCACCCTCCAATGGCCGCCACAGCCGGCGTGCTGCGGCCGGTGCACCGCGCTGATCCGATGGCAGGAGCCAGGAGCCAGGTGCTTTTCCTGGTCTCCCATGGGGTTCAGGGCCCAAGCACCTGGGCCATCCTCCACTGCACTCCCTTGATGACCAGTATTCTTACACACTTGTACTTGTCTTTATGGTCTCTCTCTCTTTCATTTGGCCCTGAGTACTATTTATTTACCTTGAAGAAAATTTGTTTTCTCCACAATTGTCTGAACTCTAAGGACACAGAAACAAAACTTTTTCTGTGAACTTCAACTTTGCTGTTTAAACACTTTTCTGATGATCAGACTCATGTCTGAAACTCTGAAATTAAGTATTATTAGAAGAAATTGGCAAAAATTAATTTTAAAAATTATTTTTCCTCTCTGGATTCATATAACCACTCACTATAGCCAAAATTTGATCTGAAATGGTATCTTATCTGGTTTTTAAAAATTAATCTTTTCAGATAACTTTTTAATTTTGTAGATGGTAAAGTAGGCTACTTACCAAATCACAACTTCATTTTCTTTGGATGTAAGTGGGTAGGGCTTGCCTGTTTTGAACTTTATATAATGACTTAATTATTATGCTGTGGTTGTACATGTTATCCGCACAACTGTATAGACTAATTTGTGGTCAGACCCCAGTGAGGTAGCAAGCATTTACTTGATGACCATGTGTGTGGTCACCAAAGGGATGTTTGATCAGGGTCATGGGAAAGAAAAACAAGATGAAATGTTGTGAATTATAGGGGAAAATCTCTCGGGAAGAATTCAGATTGGAAATGCTTCCCTTTTTCTAAAAGCTGAGAAAGTTTATGAGACTCATTTTGTTCTACATTTTGTGGCAAGCTCCACCACGGTGGGACCCATTGAGTTCGCACTGACACAGTGGGTGGTGTCTGACTTCCAAGAATTGCAGAGGCTCTGAGGAGGGTTAGCAAGTGGCTTTGGAGGCGAAGTGTGGAGAGTTGTTGCTGCTTTCAGCTTGATCTCCATCCTAGGATTTGTTGAGAAAAAGAACAAATGAATAATCTTGGTCTATTGTGAGCCAATTAGAGGAACAAT